GACCACAATGGCCAACATGAATAGTATGACACATAAAGTAGAAAAAACAAAAAAAAATAATGTGTCAAATAATAAATCCTCTTTGCCTTTGTTCTATTCATTTTGTGAAAATTAGAATTACGCACATCACTTTGGCGGCGTATTTTTTTTTTTTTTCATTTCATTTCGTTTATCCTTTTAAGCTGTCACACTGTCGCATCTAATGCGGATCATTTTGGTATCGTTAGAAAAATAAAAATTTCTAAAGAAATGGCAAATGTCCAATATATTTTATTTGGTCGCGTATCGTGTCGTTTCCTTCGTTCATTCTTTTATTTCTTTCATTTTGCTGAAGAAAAAAAAATTGTCTTTGTAAGTGTATTGTGCTTTGTAAGTATTGTCGTTTAATGTTGATTGCAAAGTTCCTTTTTGGTGTAGAATAAAGAGCAAGAGAATGAAAAGGAAGCTGATTTTTGATTTTGTGATCTATGTGGAGTAGACGATGGCAACAACACAATCTCCCTCTATTGCCATTGGTTTCTTTGATTGGTGTATTACATTCATTGATGCTATTGGATTGATATAGACAAGGAACAGAGAATAAGGTGTTTTTAGTTTTTGTTGTTTTCATTCATGTTGTTCGGCAAAAAATTTTCCATTTTCATTTAATTTTTTTGCCATTTTCTGTGATTGTGTGTGAGTGTCTTACTGCTGATGCTAGAAAATGCTTTTTTTATTTATTTATTTTCTATTTAATTTTTTTTCCACTTTAGTGAAAATTCGTTCATTAAAGACGAGTTTTTTTTTGGTGCGTGTTGTTGTTATTGGTGCTGCTGTTGCTATTAATGTTGGTGACTTGACTTCGCATCGTTTTTCGACCAGTGTTGTTTACATGGCACATCGTTTTTAAGTCAATGAGAGAGCGAGCAGTTCGGTTTCTTTTTCGAACGTGTGCACTGATTATCATTATTATTATTTTTGCTTGTGTTCTTTTATTTTGTTCGTATTTTTCTTCGTATTTATGTTTTTTTTTCTTATTCTTTCGTCAAATTTTTTTACTGCTATTCTCATCGCACTCAACCATAGTTGTTCTGTTGCAAAGTCTGCATTTGCCATGTAGACTGTAAATGAAATGTTGGGGGCGCAAAAGCCCTCAACTAAATAACAAGATGCTATCATTTGATACACACAAAGGTACCAAAAATGGTGAGCACACTGTTTTGTGAGTCTCATCCGAAGATAGTAGTTGTGCTCGGCACATACAAGAAGCGATGATGATGATGATGAAAAAAATCGAAGGTTTAATTAGTGTATACAATAATAGAGCCAAAATAACAACGTGAAAAAAAGAATCAAGCGCTACAGGAGTGTGCAGGACAATTGCTACTCCTAAAATAAGGATGATAGAGCGATAGAGACAGTGGAATTATTATCGCGTGCGTAAGCCAGAGTAACGGTGCAGAGAAAAAGAGAGAGAAAAAACCTCATGCAAGAAATATCATTGACACGTAAAAAAAAGGTTAGCGTTTGGTTTTCAAAGCAGTACAGACATTGAACTCGCGCTTATGATATTTTTCATTTAATTCGCTTTTCTTTTCATTTTCATAATTCTTTCGTGTGCTCGTTTTTTTTTTTTCGTGTGCTCCTCATGCTCGGTGCTGTTGTGTCCCATTGGTTTTTGCGCGGCCCACTTGTACTCTCAACTTAACAGCTTTTTATACGAACACAAAAGTACACACAATAGTACGCAAACACCAAATGCGGATGCGAGCGAACATCTCTCACCGAGTACTATCCCGCAACCGCCGCTATTCGTTAGCATCTTCAAAGGATAACAACAACAACAACGAACTCATAATTAATGCGAATAATTAAAAATGTGAAAAGCGACGAGAGAGAAAAAAAACGACGAAAATATTAAAATTGGAAATTTGAATATGCAACGCAAACGAATCATCAAGATCCCGACTGGGAAAATGATATGAAAAAAAGCGCGAAAAAACGCGAACAACAAAAACTCATTGGATGAAACTGGAAGAATGTTTCTCATTTTTATCGCCTATTTCGAATCAGTGGTTCGAGAGAAGAGGAAAAAAAACCTGAACCGGAAGATGTGTATTTTTTCTTCTCGCATTCTATCTTAAACATTTCATCTAATGTCTTGCTCATTTTTTTATTCGACTCTTTACGTTGCGGTGCTACTCATGATAAATTCGATTTCAGTTTTATTTCCCTTTACATATTCCATAACATTTCAACGACCACTGTCGAATGCGTACAAAACAGAAAAACTAATTTTTTTTCTCTCTCTCTCTATCGCGAGGTTCGACAAAGACCGTTCTAAGATTGAAGGAGAAATGTTCATTTGAAGACGGAGGGAAAAAAAATAACCATCCAAAGTAAGTTTGAAGATTATTGAAGTTGAAATGGAATTATGAATTGGACTAAAACTCATCACAAATCGATTTTCGAGATCTTACGTTTGCGAACCGAATTGAATGCAAATTGAAAACCTATCTCGTTGTGAACATGAAACGGTAATGTTTGACTTCTTTCCAAATAAACGAACGAACGAATGAACTGATTATTTGTTATATCACAGTGTCAAGACATTGGTTCCATTTACGAAAATGCTTCACAAACTTGATCCCCACCCCTCATCCACATTCAACTAACGCTTAACACTGATTAATATGATTTTTAATTAATATGCTGGTTTTTCAGTTTTGTGTGGCTTTTTCTTTTTCTTATGTTCCGTTGAAAGCTAAAAATGCTATTCAATCATCCCATTCTTATTGTGGATTTCAATATTTCAGTGTGGTTTTTTAAATTCAATAGTCTTCTTGTGCATGTATGTGTGTGCTTTTCTATTTTTCACAGAATGAACTGTTATCCAAATGAAAACCGTCAAACGACTGAATTTGGACACAATCCAGAACATTGAATGCAAACTCGCTTAAGTCGTTAATAGTGTAGAATTGTTATAAATGAAACAAAACAAAAAAAACTGTAACGAAAACAAAAGGAAAAAGAAACTATGAGCCGAGTAATGTATAATGGAAACAAGACGAGAGAAAAAAAAACTAAAGCGTTATAAAAACGTGTAAAAACGCATGCATATCTGAAATCGCATAGAGACCGACAGCTGTGCAACTTGAGAGCGACAGACAACCACACAACCGTATACAAACATTTTTTAATACGTTTTTCGTTTAATTCTATCTGTCTTTTGGTGTATTTGTGTATGCGTTGTTCGCTTTCAAATACCTTCTATCCTTTTTTCAACGTATATCCACAAAAAAGCAGCCAGGATATCAGGCATAAATGAACTTTTCTTTAAAATTCACTCAATAATCAAGCGTATTAATTTACGGTGTTATATTCTTGTCTAGGACACTAAGTGCATTTCGTGTACACATTCATTTGGCATACGTTTAACACACACACTCTCTCTCTCTCACAAGCAATATGTCCTCCTGTAGAAGTTTATAGTCAAAACGATCGATCGACAATCAGGAACATTCGAGTAAGTAGAAACTAAAAAAAAAAAAATGAACAGAGCAAAAAAAATGATAAAGAAAAATCGAGCGAGAAAAAAAGACCGCAACAACAAAGCGCCAAATATACTCGCACAAAGTGAAAGAAATGCCATGAAGCACAAAATCAACAAAATGATTGACTGCGAAGAAAAAAGTTGAAAAACAAAGCGAACGCAAAAGTTTTGTCGAAGTGAAAACAAAATACGACACACACACACACACACACACAAAATGAAAAGGAAGAAACAAAATACTACAGACAAAACTTTTTGCGATTTTTTCCCTCGATTTTTTGTTGTTTTTCGTTTACTATATAATATATAAAATACGTTTTTTTCTCCTCTGTTGTAGCAGTTACTGGTGCTGTGGCTGTTGTTGCACTTCATTCGTTGCTCTTCAGTTTTGTTTGCATTTCATTGTGCGCTTTCTATCTTTTCTTGATTGTAAGTTCACCGTGGAATGTTTTGCTGACTTTTTCCGTTTTGTGCTGCACACACAGCAAACAAACACACCGTAAAGTATTAAATTTTATTCAGGATTTTTATCTAATACGGATTACGTACATTTCCAACAGCATTTTTTTCTCTTCTTTTCCTCTCATGCTCTCAACTGTATTCGATTTTCCCTATGCAAGAAAAGAAAATCGGAATCGTATGCGATTTGGAGATGGTTGCTTTTTACATTTGTCATTTTATATATGTATATATATTCTTTCGTCGATTTTTGATGGTTGGCTGATTGTAATGTTTTGCTTGCTTCCTTTTTGGGTCCAGCACATAAAACGTGTAAGCGAATCGAGCGCGAGATTCATTCTATGTCCATTGAAGTACACATACACACACACACACAAACATTTATTCACTCGCCAGCTTTTCGCAAATGCAACACAAAAGTGAAATGAAGTGGAAAAAACATTGAGACGACTCTTGAATTTTATGCGATCTGGCTTTTGTTTTGTTGCATGTTTGTGTCTTCATTTTTTCATTGTTAATGCGCTTGTTCTCTGTCTCTTTCTCTCTAGCTTCTTGCGAACGTCAACGCGATTGTTTTCATAACATTTTCGGATTTGAAAAACTTTTTTTCCATTTCAGCTGCATGCATGCAAAACAAAAGACATTCTTAGATTTAGGAACTCGCATAGAATTGCACCAAGAACATTCTCTTCATCGCCAAATGAGTGTTATTTGGGCCAAGTGAACTGGATAGAATTAGTCACTGTGATTGTACGATTCTATAGAATGAAATCAATCACATCCACACATTTAAGCATTTTGATTTGACGAATCGACAATAGGATGCTTTGCATATGCATTAAGATCGTTCATGTCTAGATATCGATTTGAAATCGATTTTTATGTTAAATCACTAATCTGTAGGATCGTTTAAAGTTGTTTCAAACGAACGAGAGAAAAAAAATAGAAAAGTAGAAACTAAATCGCTAATGGATTTCAAATGATGTAGTTTCGGTTGGTTTAGATTTACCTTTGGCTCACATTCAACAAATTGTTGTTGATTCAAACAAATCGTTTTCCGTTGATCGTAATATTCAAATAGTATCGTTATGGATTCAGTTCAAATTCACACAGTGTTGCGCTTCTAAATCATTCATTGGCCAATTCAAACATCGTTTTTTCACGCACTTTAACATCACACTATCACTAGTTCATTTTTTTTTCTTTGTTTTTCATTCTTTAAACAGAGTTTTCAATCGAAAAATTACAGCAATTATCATTCGATATCTATTTATTGATTTTAGCGATTAGTTTTTTTTTTCTTTGATGTTGTTTAGATTGTGTGTGTGTGTTTTTTTTTTATCTTAACGAATAAATATTTATGTGAGTCGAATAAATTAGAATAAATTATAAATAATTACACACTAATAATAGTCGTCGTCAAAATGAAAACTGAACTGCAACGCGGGAAATTAAATTTGATGATGTTTGTCGCCAATTTTGCGAGCCAAGCTATTGAACCGATTTCTCCGAAGAAAAAAAAATTAAATAAAATAGGATAAAACGCAAGCCAAATTAATTTATTTTTTCTCTCGAACGGAACAAAAGCAAACTGAAATTAAGCGAAAATTACAAGAACGAAAAAAAATCACTATAAAACACACATTCAAATATTGGTTGCTGTCTCACACTCGTTCTCTTGTTTGCGTATTTTGTTTTTCAAATTAATGTTGTGTGTTGACGGTGCTTTCCCATGCGCTTGTATGAAAACGCGTGTTACTTTCTACAAAGACGCACAACAACTGACTGCTCGTATACTATACACCATTTATGGTTCAATTTCGAATTAAACACAAACAACGACACTGTATACATGGCTATAGGATACCGAATTGTATGTTGTTTGATTGCCGCCACAGAACACTCACTGCTATATACATAATAAAACAGCAGCTACAGCACAAAACATAAATGCGTAAGATTGTGTGTGTGAGCGGTACGCGCTGTGTATGTGTGAATGTTTATTTGAGTATGTGTGTGTGCGGAGAATGAGCATGATGCATACGATCCTTGGTATCGTCCGTGTGAACGTGTACAATCGAAAGTGGAAAAAGGAACTGCACTCGAATATATATATACACGATGTGCTTGTATGAAACGGTGTTGATGATTTAGCGGCAACGCGACACATTCAAAAAGAAAGCACCAAAACGATTCACATTTGTGTTTGTAGTGAGTATTGGTTCAGGCATTATCCTATCGCTCATTTGGATTCGGAAAAATCATGAAAAATGCGCGTTGATTTGGTGTTTACATTGTATTCTTCGTTGTTTGAGCATAAGGATTTTCGACTACTCTACCGTTTTTCTTTGACTCCAATGACTTTTCCAAATGTATTTAAATAGCATTTTGTAATTGTAATGTCTTTGTGTGTATGTGTTTTTTTTAAAGCATAAAATGTTCATTTTCGAATTCAAAATGAACCTAGAAAATAATTGGGATATACAAAAATATTGTGCACATACAACTACACGTGCGATTTTTTATCCGAATTATTTTTGATGTTGTTGATGCTTCGCAGGACATACATCAAACAAACCAATACACTCACAAACCGTATTCAACGAGTAATGAATCCACTTATGTATACCATTACAATATTAGTGCAAGGCGCAATTAAATATGAAAAAAAAAAAAATATATACCATACAAATACACATAGGCCAAATGCACGAATAGTTCTGAAACCGAGTTCAATGTGTTTTATTCGCGTTGGTTTGTGTGTGCAGCCAAGAATTATACATATATATATGTATGTTGTTATGTTTGTTGTAGTAGATGAAGTTCAACTCGAATAGATCGCATATTTTTCAAAAAGTGGCAGCTGCTTCAAAAGAAACCAATCAACATAAACGCCATACATTATTATTTTATGTACACAATCTCGGATCACGGTTTTTTTTTTCATTCCTCTGGCTCTCTTTTCCGGGCAACCAAACTGAAAATACTTTGTAATTTTACGCGAACAACCAATCCAAATAGTTGCGAGTTTTATTCATTTTCTCGATTGTCTTACATGCACTTCATAACAGCCAAATTGGCACTGTGTGCAATACGTGCATTTTCTGCACACAAAACTACTTTTTTTTTTACAAAAAAGTTAAACTTTTCGTTGACGACGGGCCATCCACTCCTGTGGCCATTTCAAAAAGTTCCGACATAACCCTTTTTTTATCCCTTTTCGAAAGGGATTCAAAAATGCACCCATAATAATGATTCCGTCGATGTGCGTTGTTTACACTTTACTGATGATGGAAAATCATGTCGAATATCTTGTGAGATCCTCAATTAAGTCATTAATTGTTTTAACTTTGGAACAGTAGAACATTGTGAAGTGTATATACTTCTGATAAATCCGCTCAGTAGACAAAGTGGCCGGGCGTTTCGTTTTAATTGGAAAAATATCAGAAAATATTCGCCAAAAAGGCGATGAAGTTGATTTTGAGTATGCAATAAAAAAAATGTTGTCCGAGTATTGTTACAAACTGATTGTGTGATTGAAGAATTTGAAAAAGAAAATTCAAAACTACGCTTGAATAGTTTCGATAATATTGAAAATCGGAATATTCGTCCAAATTTGGCATCGAGAGCGAAGCGAAAAAAACGTTGAATTGAACTTGAACGAAGTGGCTGAATGCCATTTTTCGCATCCGTTGCGCTTGTTTTTCTCTCTTCAAATATTTATTTATTTTGTAAATTGGAAATATAACTAAATCAACAAATTGAAAAATGGCAGGAAAAAGCAACGCAAGCCGAAATGATTGCTTATTTATGAGGATATTCCTCTACTATGTTCAAATTCTTTTTTTATATTTCACTTTTCTTCTCATTCCATCTTTTCCCGTTCAGTTTCGGAACAATCGGTGTGCGTTATATTTTTTTTAAATATTTCTTTGGTATCTCTATTTCTCGACATTTTCCATTCCATTCGTCTGTTGGTCGTTTCGATCTGATTTGGAAAAATCATGTTTTATTAATGTGTGTAAAACGCATTTTGTAATAACAGTGCTGCAGCACTAATAGACAAGCAGACAGACATTCAATTCACAATCACGGCTTTTATTCTTTTGGCATAATTGTTGTTGTTTTTATTATTGGGTCTTCTTTTTCTCTCTTGTTGCTATTTTTTCTTGCTATTTATTTTTGGCAGTATTTCCTATTTTCGATACTCAACATGACACGAGAATTGATGAAAAATATATAGCAAATAAGCATAGCGTCAATTCAATTTATTCGAAATGTATGATTGTGGTGGCCATTTGATACTCTGCTTCAATGATGGTGATATGCTGCTTGTGAATTTTAAACTAATATATATGTAGGTTTATTTTTATTTTCTTTGCGAGTGAGTGTGTGTGTGAGAGAGTGAGTGCATGTATATATGTATTATTATTTTTTTTTGCTGTTGCGAGCGGTGTTGCCAATTTCCCCCATTGTATACGTATTCAGCAGCGAATGTTTGTCAAAAAAAGTTCGCTGTTGTTGATTTCTCTATCTTTTTCTCTCTTTTTTTCATGGTTTTGCATTCAGTTTGACGAGAGAGAAAAAAATATGTATAACGCAAATATACACTTATATTTAGTTTTAACATATATATACACACACACACACACACACACACACACACACACACACACACAACGAAAGCTATGGAAACCCTGTGCACGCTCAGATATAAACAAAATGCTTTTGGTTTATAGATTTGTATTTTTTTTAATAGACGATGTAGAGCGTCAAATGAAGCATATACATAATAAAAATTTCGTTGTTTGTGTTTACATAATCGTTTGTTGCAAATGCACTTTGATGCAAAGCCAAAAAAAGAGTTGGTGGTAGGTCTAGCCTTGCACTTTTCCGAAGCCAAACATAGCCGGAACGTGACATAAAATAACATTTGAACACCAAATTGCACGATGGCCAAATGAACAACAGGCAACCATAGAAATACCGATCATTTGTGCATTTGATTATGATGATTTATCATTAATTGTAAGAAAAAAACACAATTTTATTTTACATGAAATGACGTACTAAGGACATTAAGGATTATGAGGCGTATTTCTGATTCTTGTTTGATGTAATTATTTTCCATCTTGATGTGTATCTAATCATAAATATGAGAACTATAAATTGATGTTGATTTGAAGGTAAAACCAAAATGCATTGAGTTAATCAGCCACGTGTCATTTCAAAGTATAACTTATAATTAAATGCGATAAGTTTTAATTAGTGTTCAATCTTCATGAAATCGAATTCACTTGGAAGAAAATATCAAATGAAAACTTTATCAATCACGTTACATCATGATCTGATTATGCCTTTGGAAAGTTAAAACTATATCGTACAACTCATACGGCCAACTGCATTTAATGCAATTTTGATCCCTAACTCATTTTAACACAGCAAATATATATAAATATCTACACGCATGATTATCCCAGGTGCTGCAATAGCTGCAAGTCAAATGAAAAAGTTTCTGTATTGTTCACAACCTAAAATTCAATTACAAACAACAAATTAAGCGGGCAATTTGAAAAGTTCAGCCTTTTGTTTAGCAATATAGTACACGCATGCACTTTCGAATGTGATATGTAAACGCAAGAGAAAAGACTGAGAGATGATCTGGCCAATTACAATTCATGATAAAATTCACGTATTTCGTAATTGAATTTCCGGATATCCATCAAGTCCAATCGAGACCGTTTGTATCCATGCACGTGTGCAAGTGTTGTGATGTCACAACATTACTCGCTGTTTTTTTCATTATCTCTCTTCCTCTCTCTCTATCTATCTTTTTCCATCAACACACACACACACACACTGAAAGTGCTTATCATTAGCATTGCCGGTGTGATGAATCTGTGTTTATCATTCAATTTCCAAACGTTAAAATATTATATATATATATACAGTAGTAGTGTGCGGAAGGGGGGATGTGGATGAGAATTTTTTTTCGTGAAATTTATTCGAATTTGCTTTGGGTTTTTGATTCAAAAAGTGAAGACCTCTTTTTTTTAGCTCATCAATGTAGAAAATTGAGAAAAATTCTTTCAATTTGCTAGGGTTTTTGGCTCCGAGAGATTTTTTTCCGATTTGCTGGGGTTTTTCGCGTAGAAAATTTCTTCGATTTGCTAGGGATTTTCACCTCAAAAAGTGACTTCCAAAAAAAAAAAAACGAAAATTTGTCTGATTTGTTAGAGAATTTCTTGTTATTCTCCCTCCCCCCCCTGAAAAATTTTCCTCGCACACTACTGATATACAGGGTGTCTCATATATCAGGCTCACTATGAAGGAGTGAAAATTTCTAAAAACCCTTTGGGGGGTATGTTGGGGGTAAAAAATAGAAAATTTCTATCTGAGCAGAATTTTGAATTTTTCCTCAGGGGCGGTGGGGGTGCCCCCAATTTTGCAAAATCGACTTTGTAAGATTTGAGGGGTCGATTTAACACTTTTTTGGTTCAAAATTTGTGAAAAAACGTGAATGAGAAAAATATTGATTCTAAGGTAATTTTTCATGCTGATTCCGAATTTTTGGGTTTCAGGTCAAAAAAATCACATCTTGGGGGTTTTTGACCCCCCGACCCCCTTAAGGTGTGGGGGGACTTGGAGGGCAGGGGTCCTAAAAAATTTCTCTCGCCATTCTGAACAACTTTGTAGTACATTATTTTTTGATCCGATGAAGTTTTGCAAAATTGGGGGCACCCCCACCCCCCCTGGGGAAAAATTC